TTCCGGATTTCTTATATAAATATGAATGAAATCAAAAATTGTCTTCATGTGGTTTTCTTAGAAAAACCGTTCCAATCTATATTGGGAATGACTGTATATGCATATAATATTTATTAGTATTTTATTAATGTTTACAAATTAAATATTATATTCAGTGGGAGTCTAACCACTTAATTTAAAAGCTGTAATTCAATACAGTGTATATTACTAATACTTATGGTTAAGTCATATTTTTGGTTAAACTCTTACATTATTTCATGGCTGCCATCTGTTATAATCATAATAAAATTGTTATATTATAACTTGTTCATGATACTCTCATATTAGTCATTATGTGTGATTTTTGTTTAATGTTTAATTACTATAAATAAATAAGATATTAATCTATTATATTATTTTAATAAATGATAAATTTGATAAACAAGATAGCTAAATTAATTTAACAGAAATTTATATAATTCTTTAATAATAACAACTATTTCTCTGCCAATAACACGGCTTTCCGCCACTTCGCCATCCCTTTCCACCCGATACACCAGTCATACTGAGGCGGGTACTTAAACGCCTGCTCATCGGTCAGCTGATCGGCCGCTATATAAGGCCAGTGGGGGTTATTCAAGAACGCCCGGCCCATGAATATCAGTGTCGCGCCGTTACCCTGCAATATAGCCTCAGCCACGTGGGGGTCGACTATTTTGCCCACAGCCGCCGTGGCCAATCCCACTTCCCGCTGTATAGTACCGGCGATCTCGATCTGGATCTTATTAGTGTTGAGGGGGTTATAGTCGACGCCACCGACCACTCCACCGGAACTACAGTCTAGAAAGTCTATACCCAGGGCTTTGAGTTCGCGGGCAAACTCGATGGTTTGTGGCACATCCCAGCCCTGGTCAGCGTAGTCGGTGACCGACACTCGGACTCCCAGTGCGATGTTGTCGGGTAGGGTGTGCCGTATATTGCGGGCTATTTCGAGACCAAATCGCATCCGGTTTTCAAGACTACCCCCGTATTTGTCGGTGCGTTTGTTGGTGGCCGGGGATAGAAACGTGCTGACCAGGTAACCATGCGCGAAGTGTAGCTCGATCACCTAGATATAAATAAAGATTATTTATTATTTTGCAATATAATTACTTTTAGGATCTTTTTGTTTAAAAATATAACGTTTTAATTGATAAATTACTATAACATAGTGATTTTATTTATAAGCATAATGTAAAATCATTAAAAAAATTATATACATTATTATTGTCCAAAGTCGTGACTAACCCGGATGAGATTAAAGTAAATAACTGTTATTACTTACTACTATTAGTATATTGCATTACAGTTTGTAAAATGCAAATTTTAAATATTTAATCTAATAAGGTAACTTTTATATAACAAATTATTATATTTTCATTTATATCTAAATTAACTAAAACAATATTATGTTTAAAACTAACTAATATATGACCCACCTCAAACCCGGCGGTCACCGCCCTTTGCGCCGCCCTAACCCACGCCTCCTTAATCTCCTCGATATCATCAATAGTGGCCTCTTTGGGAACCTTCCCTATTGGCCCTCCAAAAGCTATAGCCGAGGGTCCAATGGTAGGCCACCCGCCCTTATCGTCACCTATCGAGTCGTGTCCGACAAATGGCGGTAACGTCGATGCCTTACGTCCTCCATGTGCCAACTGAATGCCCGGTACCGCGCCCTGCGATTTCAGGAACCGACTAATGCGGGCCATGGGCTCGATCTGAGTGTCCGTCCACAGGCCGGGACACCCGGGGCTGATTCGACCCCTGGCCTCCACGCCGGTAGCCTCGATCATAACCATACCGGCGCCGCCCGTCGCGAACGAACCGGCGTTCACGAGGTGCCAGTCGTTGACGAGTCCCTCGTCGGCCGAGTACTGACACATTGGCGACACACAGATCCTGTTCCGGAGGGTCACCCCTCTTATGGTGATCGGCGAGAATAGTATGGATTTTACAGCCTTACTCATGTTTGGGGATTGAACCAGGTTGATCTAGTTGGTTTAAAATAATATTACAAAGTAAAATAATTATGGTAGTAATTAAAAATATGATTATTATTAAAATATTAATGATAATAATTTATAAAATAAATAACTTATTATGATAATAATACTAACTTTAGTTTAAAACGAAAATCATCTTGCAAAAATCTATTACAGTATTTATAATTTAATTTTATAGGAATAAATAATAAGTATGTTTTTATAATTTTAATCTATGAATAATTAATTAAATTAAAGTTATTAATAATTTTTAAAATAATTAGTTTTTACTTATAAATTGTAGTTTTTATTTTATAAATATTTGGTAAAAATTCATCAAAAAACATCTAAAAGTTAAACTATCACTACAATATGTTTTATAATAGTGTAATTTAAAATTAAATAAAATTTTATGATAATTACCTGTTATTTTATAAATGTATAATACCTATAATGTGTACAAACTTCAACATTCAAATAATAACTATACTTTATTTTAAATAATTAAACCGATGAGTGTAAATGGTGCAAAATAAATATATTAAACTGGTCATATGATTTTTAAAATTAAAACCTGAGCATAATTTCTTACGATAAAAGTATCTGTCCTTCAATACTTCAAATACTTATCTCTCTCTCTCTCTCT